TTCCTAGCAGGCAAACTGGCTGAGAAAAAGAACTTTAGTTCCTCCATCGTTCTCAACTGGTTACGTAAGAAGATAGCTTTTGCTCTTCTTCGCGCTAGGGTTGTGTGTGTTCGTGGTAGTCGTTCCTGGAGAACTTTAAACATTCCTTTAACTACAGATATCTCGTTGTCGGAATGGAACTCTAATATTAGATAAAGTAGTTTTCTCTAGTTTATATTTATATTAAGTTTATATGCGTAATTTTATATTTTTCCTCTTGTATTGTGCATGCATTATAAAAAGTATATGATATCGATTTATTATGTATTTATAGTAATGTTCGAATAAATTTTATTTCTGTTCAAAAAAAAAAAAAAAAAAAAAAAATCGATCTAACCGTTACAATTTTATAATTAAATTTTTTAACTGTAGCTAATTAATTTTTAATAACAGGGAAATTCCGAAAACTGCGAATTTGACACTATATTTTGCAGCTTTAACTGCACTTCAAAAACATCTTACATATATCATTTTGTTTTCCATCCGTATTCCAACTTTGATGGCAATATTTTGCCATATATATCTTACTAGCTGATATAATAATATTAACGCACGAATTTCTTTAAATGGGAAGGCATGCATGCAGTTTTATTTGCAATTCAATTGTTGTTCCATTTCAAATTGCACTGCATTCATTACTTGTCATCATAAAATTTTCCCATCTATATGACTATATCATATTGTTAGTAAAGGTAAAACAACATTGTGCAATGAGGAAAAAACATATGCACTCAGGAGTATTTTTTTTAAGCCAAAAATTCGGACTCATGCATGTTCATTTGTGATTGCATTTGAAAGTATAGCTCCTACTTATACTAAGTTATATTATAAAATTTCGCTTATACTTGCCCCCTCACAATCGAGCAGTAGATAATGGTCATATTCTTCAGCTTTGACGAGCGCGGAAGGTGCTTTCGAAGCAACCTCTGTGAGTAATTCACAATTCTTTACTTCTTCACAACTTCGCAGTTTTTTAAAGTTAGCGGATCTACACCCACTTTTTTTTGCGCATGTAAAGGCGCATTCTGCCCCTGATTTGGCGTAAGTCATTTCGATATGACTGCTGTTTAAGCGATAACCTTAAGAAAGCCGTAAACTATAATTACAACTATGTAGGTAAGGAAGAATGAAGAATATGAAATAACAAAGGATAAAGAACCGAAACGTAATTATTAGTATTACAAAGACCGTTAGCTACCGATATTTGAATGGTATTAATGAATACTGTGCCATTTGATAAACTAATACAGTTCAAATAGGTTCAAAAGTTTAATATCAATCATGCGATGTCCGAAACTCTACCCTCTTTTGATCCATCGAAGCAGAAGTCCAACGCATTAGCGAAAGTCCGTGGATTTGATGATATCAACAACAATATCATGAAAGCTACGAAAGGCAAACTGGCAGTTGGTACCATGAATAAGAGCTTCAAAGTTTAGCTGTTGCTTTGTTGTACCGGCGCTGTTATCATTTACAGCCTGCTGCTTGGTTTTCGCGTGGGGAGAATTGGCATGTGTGTATTGTGTATTGCCTAATAAGCGACTTACGCCTGTATTCTAAAAGCTCACTCACACTCAAACTCATTGAGTGGGAGATCTTAATCTGCTCATTACGTTTCAATGGTGGTATTTCCAGCCGAATAGGAGCTTGATTTTCAGTGATTTACCTTATATCTTTCCATCTATTCAGAGAAAACTTTCTCATTGATCAGCATTAACAAAATTTATATGTCACACTCAATGAGTATGAGTGTGAGTGAGCTTTTTGAATACAGGCGTTAGTCTTTTTGATTAAAAAATGCCACCTGTACCTGTACCTGTAATAACGTAATATTAGACAATATTTTAGGCCATTAGGTATTTTATCAAATAATCTATAATTAATAAAAATTTAGATGTTAATTAAAAATTTAAAAATTTGAAAGACGAATAGGCCATTTCCTTCGTTATGGAAACTACTTTCATGGGAAATAACTGTTGCCAGGGTTCGTGATTTTAAAATTATAAATATTTTTTAGCTACAAATTCCTTAACTCAATCTGAAAAAAAATCTTTTTAAGAAATCTTCCTAATCACGATTACTCAATCGGGCGATGACGATGACAATTTAGGATTAATAGTACGAGTGATGTTTGAAAATTTTATCAAAGGTTTGGCAAAAGCCGCCGGGGCGAGCCCAATTTTGGGAAATGGATAATTATTTCTAATATCACGAGCACTTTTAATCTGTAATTGTACGAGCAACATCGCATGATTATGTGTTTATTAGGATGATATAACTCGTCAAGTTTTCGAAAGCGCTTCGTCGAGATATTTAAGAAATTAAATTTTAATCCAATATTCTAGTAATTCCTCTTACCATCCGGGCCTTATTTATGGGTATCTCTATGAGAGCCGGGATGGGACGTTATTCAACCCGCGTTTTTACGGAAGTTGTTCAACCCGGACATTTACACCCGGACGTTGCTTTGGTAACGCGGGAAAATTTAAATATGGAGGAATATTGACAAAAGCGTTGCAACACTGGTTCTTTTATCTTAAACTCCAGCTTTTCTGCTAATCTTCTGAATACTATGTAGGCAGCAAGTTAGCATTATTTTATCTATTTTTCTAATTCTTATTTGTTTCCAAAATGTCATGTTTGTTGTTCTGCATTTAAACAAGTTAGACGGTTATTAAAACGTGCCGAGCTCCGGATTCTTCCGGCAGGCAGTTTCCGAATGTGAATACTACAAAACGTCCAGGTCCTGGGCCTTACGTTCAGGGCTTTTTTAAAGAACTTCGGGGCCATTGGCAAAAAGGGCCTCCCACTGGGGTAACAAAGTACGAATGCCGTTTGTGGCCAAAGGGGAGCAAAGGAGAAATTTTTGAAATTAGTCGTCAAATGAGAAGCCCCATTTCCCATTATTCAGAGCCGTCAAATTTATTCTTTTTAAACTATCATGGATAAAAATTTAATTATATAAATGTTGTTTATAGCCCTCGGTCACACGTCATTATCTATTGCTTTAATGCGCTCGGGGCTTATGGAGTGACACGATCGAGCTAAATATAAAATAAAATATGTAAACTTTATTTTGATTGACCTGTCGAAGTTTTTCAGTGACCTTCAGTGGAATTGTGCATGAATGCCATCATGATGACAAAGTCGTAGAGATAAAAGAGATAAATGTCGACATAGTGTTTAATAAAATATATGACACTTATGTACAGCCAAAAATTCCGTTGAAGAACGGTATAGTATAGTATACTACAAATAGAAAAGTTATTGGAAAACTAAAATCATTTCTTGTTCGTCCCGTGCATGCAGTGTGACCATATATGAATATTTTATAAACAAAGTTGCTTTAAAAGTTAGATTGCCCCAGAGGCGTAGCCAGGGCTGGGGCCGGGGGACCTTCCCCCCCCTGGCGAAATTTTGGCCCCCCCCCTGATAAAATGTATTGGATTGCATAGATTTATGCTGCCAATATTGCGAAAATTGTAAAGAGTATATGCTTTATTGCACGCGGTATTGTAAATTACAAAATCTTGCTCGCTTAGTTGCAAAAACGCGCTGAAGCACATACCTTTTTTACCGTAATTATTTTTTCAAAATATTAAATGAGGGTTATATGAAGTCTATGCTGATTCGTTTATCTGCCAGTGAATTTTTAACGCGGGCTCTGTTTGACAAAATATTTTATTCCAAATTTGTAAAATCTAAATTGCAAATCAACTACAAAATATGCATACTTTATCACAATCTCCATCACAAAGTGGATCAAGTTCTCGGCAATTTCGTGAACAGTCAAGGCCTTTACTACCACACTACCCGAAAAAAAGGCAAGGGAGTCGAGAAAGATCTTTCCAAAGTTCATGGTACAAGGCTTTTTCTTGGCTGGAGTATTTCGAAGATGTATATAGATTCATGTTTTTGCTATCCTTGTCAAATGTTTTCAAAAGATTCGACTAAAGAAAAAACATTCATAACAAATGGATTCTCTAACTGGAAGACAGCAATGGAAAGTGGGAAAGAATTTAAAAAACATGAACAGTCAGAGGTTCATATGCGAGCAGTAGCATCTTGGAAAGAGAAAGAATTCCGTGAGAAACGTGGTCAGACAGTACGAAACCTCATCCAAGTCAAGCCAGAACACAAAATATGGCTGAAAACAGTATTAAACACTACTTTCACTTGATGCAATGCACTGCACGATGTTTCATAACTGGACTGGTTTTTTTTTCAAAAGCATTTTCTTGGCATTTTTTTGGGGAAATTTACGTAAATCACGTGATCGCTCTGATCACCCATAGATCCGCACCTGCCTACAAGCTAACTCACTTAGTATCCATACTAATTGCCATTTTTATATACTTTGGATATAGCATGGAAAAATATATAATATCCATACTAGTTCGCATTTCCATAGTAGATGTTTAAAAAATAATTGAGTGTTATTAACCAATGCAATTCTCTAACATCACAGCCACTGCTAATTTTTAGAAACACTCATGTCAAGAATTAGATAGCAACCGTTTGACAGTTTCGAAATTCATGGATATTGTTCAGCAATTACAACTTCCACGATAACTTCCAGTGATGAGAAGCCAAGTTTGAGAACAGTTTCGCCATTCTTTCTTATCAAAAGATGTTCAAAAGATGAACTTCATAACATTACTCATACTGGTCAGGATGATTTTTAGGTCTGCAGCAATAGCCGTTTGACCAATATAGATATGATAGCACATGTAAAGCGTAAACTTTATTATAATTAATTGACGTGTCGACGTTTTCTCATTGGAATTTGCATGGGTGCTATCATAGCAAAATAGTAGAGATACACAGAGATTCATGTTGACTTTAATGTGTGTTAAATGAAATACGTATATAACACAGCCAAAAACGTATTAATTTTGAGTAAGTATATTGTAGAACTACAATCCTTTCTTCCATATTAAAACCATTGACTCTTTCGGGATAATCATAAATAACACAAAAAAAATGCAACATAGCTACTTCATTTAGTGCACCCAACTCCTACATGATACATGAATAATTCGTGAATATCAGACGATATTTTCCACTAGTGATCACAGAAGTATATTCTCGTTCTATAGCTACGCCTTTACCCCACAAAATAATTGAAAACTGACCGAAGCTTCTACTTTCGACCATCTTCAAATTGATAAAAGTTGGTGAATACGTTTCTGAAATCGTCTGCATCTCTTTTTTAAAGGTAGGTTACAGATGCTAAAAAATTTGAAAACTATGAAACGCGTTGATTTAAAATTTAAACAATGAAACGACCAGAATATTTGAAACTATTCAGTTGTGTTCGCCATAGTTCTAAATGAGTATAAGCTGGATTTTATTTTCTGATTAGTAAAGAACGTGCTAAATTTCAGCAATTTTAAATCAAGTAGTCTACCCATTGTTATGAGCATAACCGATGCGCACTGCACCCTACCTTTAAACTATTTGCGTTTCTATTCTAATATAACTTTTGAAGCTAATTTCCGCTACCTTCGATCTTAACAAACCCCTGAATGCTACAGTATTTTTCATAGTGTCATTCCCTACCATTATATATACAGATAGCATACTAGTTGATAATTCTAATTTGTGCCAACATTCAAGAAGTTACTAGTTAGATAGCAACCATTTGACAGCATCGAAATTTGTCGATATTGTTCAGCCAATCACCATTTCCACGATTGAGTCCAGCGATGTAATGTCCAGGCTTAGAACAGTTTGACCATCCTGCTTGATTAAAAGATGTTCCAACATCCTCCTCATAACATGATCCATACTGGTCAGGATGATTGTTAGGTTTACAGCAATGGCCATATTCGATAGCATGTAAATTGCTGGCCCCAATAGTGTGTTGTAATCCGTTTAAGAAGTACCCCTCCGGACAATTACTCCAAATGTTTTCTCTACACGAATGGTGATGTGAAAGCCTCTTTTAGTTTTATTAACTATAATTGTCCCGAATTAAGTAGATTTTTATCTGATGCATGCTTCTTTTGGAAAAGCGCCAATCGTTTAAATTAAAAAAGTAAACCTGAGGACAGTTATTCGGCCAAGTGTTGTTACTATATTAATTAATGATGAAAAAATCACAATGATTTAATGGTTTTGTATTCAAGGGTGTATTATATTTACTTGATTTTGATCATTTAATACTTCGCCTGAATTTAATTCCCGCGATACTTTAAAAAAGTAATATTATAGTGGAATCACATTACCCAACGAACACATACTTATCAAGCGAAAACCACCAATTTACTGTTTTACATTGGCCATTCTGACCGCTGCTCGCTGGCGTGGAATTACAACATCTTGCTTCTTCAAGTAAAATGATGGGAACTCTATTACTGTTGGGGGAACTTCGGTAAAATCCCGTGATGAAAAGATTTTCTTCGCCACATGTTGCCCAGCCCCATTTATTAGAACTTTTCAACCACCATTTTGCAACTGAACATGTTGGAGTTGTTGCTAAAAGTTGAGATTCACAATGATTTTTAGGTCTAAGGACATTAGAGACGTGCTATCAGCCTCTCACGGTAAGCAAGAGCTCTATTTAAGACGCCGTGATGGTTAATCCGTAAACTCTGATCGGATATATTAATGAAATTTTTACCGCCTGCCTTAGCTGTCGACTTGTCGTATTCCAAATCAATGGTAATAGGGAATCGCATCTACTCTTCTCTGTTGCACTAGCCTCATACTATCATAGACTTCAGTTATATATGTTCTCTGGTTTTGTAAATGCATGAACACACTGTACAAAAAACTAATATTGAAATGCTCTGCAAACCTGTTGATTGCAAATTTAAAGCACGATGATTGCCGTATTTGCACAAACGATCAGCGCAAGTTTGGCAGTTGGCAACTTAAAAATCTGGCATGACAATTGTATCAGAAAATAATTCATATTTTCAACTTGAGCCTCTAGGGCAAACTATGTTAAAGTTTGAATTTGCATTAAGTTTGCATGCAGCAAAATTTATTGCAAATCTAAGGCCTAGGCTATGGCCTACCACTTATATACGTCGCATGCATTTTGGTCGCGGGGAATGCAATTCAAACAATTGATGATGAGATGATAAACTTCATTATTGCGTCGACTAAAATATGACGTATAACCTGGGCCTAAGTTTTCATCCAGTGACGGTTGGTATATCTGTGTTTTGAAGTGCTGTTGCCTGATGAACGCGACGTTTTGATTTTAATGATAAATTGCATTGCCTGCCGTGCTCTAACTAGCCCGGAAACACGTGTTAGGTTTTTTTTATTGCCCAGCAAAGTTCAAGTAGTTGTAGTAAAATAAGATAAGGAGCCAGTTGACAGTTGCCGTATATATTAAAATGGCAGAAGTGGTCAATAAGATTCCTGTATTTTGGAGTTAACTACGATTCAGTAACTACAAAAGCGTCGTTAAAAGCTATATACAGCCTGGTCAAGTTTAACATGACTGCATGATTAACCATAACTTTGGTATCCGTGCAATTGCAAATATTGTTTTTCCAAGTAAGGTGATGGCAAAAAACTTAAGCCAAAGCATTTTTGCCCTGTAAGAGCCCACTCAGTTACAGGAAACCATGCAGATTTAAAAGTTAAAACGCAAAATACAGTTAGCCAATTATACCCAATCTTTTAACCTTGCGTACACGCTTACTTGACCTGTCATATATATGGCTATATTGTCGGTGATCACTGATGAATTAAGTGCTTTGTTATTTTGAATAAATTTTCTTCGACAATGGCCACATGCAATACTTCGCCGACTGTCATGCAGCGACATATGCGAACCAAGCTTTAATCATCAATTAACCAATGGCAAATCCTGTTCGCGGTACCTTGTGCTAAGCCGTTTTTTAATGACTGTTAAGAATAGCGTTTCTTCACTCGCAAAACACTATTTTTCACAAATATTTCTATACAGGTGGTATCCGCAGAGCTCAAAATACCACTAGATTTCCCTAACGATTCGTGCGTGTACGCCTTGAAGACATTTACGAAGTGTGCACTTTTTTATACACCCTGTATATTGCCAATCACCCTCGTTTGTGGGGTATACATGCAAGCATTAATTAATTTGTAAGGCTTACTTGTTGATTGTGTTGGAGAGCTTGATGACGTAGGGTCTAATGGTTTCTAAAAACAATTGAGCGAAACAAAATTTAGACTACACATGGTAACGTTTTCGAGCGTTTTCACATTCGTCTTCATACCAAAACGGTTTGAAGTCGAATCGTGTGGACAAGGGCGTTTAAACAATAAAATAGACAAAAACGATTTTGAAAACGCTAAAAAACGACGCTCGTGCGCACATGCATAGCGTGAGAATCTACTTCGGTGACTTTTACTTGTACAAGAAAAAGCATAATCTAACGATTAACATCTTCAAATCCGACATATTATTTGTCTTGTTGTTTGAGGTTTTCGGCTGGTATTATAGTTTTTGTACACTACGCTATATATATATATATATATATATTCTTGTAACTAAGTTAGATTATAGGCAAATGCCATATGCCTCTCGACTCTGACACCAGGAACGCTTAATTATTTTATTTGCTATAGCTACAAGACGTCTCTGCCTAATTTATAGACACATCAACAAAACTAATACCCTATTAAATTCGAATACGTTTATAAATATTTCCATTTTTCTCTTGTATAACGGAAATAAAAGCTATATAAACCTTGCGAAGCACGCGTACGCATTCTAATAATGTGAAAATGCATGTTTCTCGCCATTGTACATGTTATTCAGTTGATGGCCTCAAATTTGCGTTTAACCTATTCTTTAACTCGGTTCTCTACGCGTTGCGTATTTTTTTACTGCGTGAAACAGAAATTTTTGTTCAATTTTTAAACCAAGCGAAACTATTCGACTATTATCACAATTGAATAACAAATGAAGGTAGAGAATTCAAAAAATTTACTGCGTAGAAATGACCTGTCTTGACTCTTGAGGTTACAAATTTTCGCTATGTTTGCAGTCTATTTCAATTGTGATAAGTTTACTTTTAAAAAACGACATATGTACGTGTAAGACCTGCCTCCATCTCAAATTACACTCTATAAATCAAGTAACTTTATTCGTTATTAATTATCACATTTTTTTTACTTAGATCAATTTAGTTACATACAAGCTGCATGAGGAGCTTTTAGTTTTATTGCCCCTCATTTATTACACACGAAGTAGAGGAATTAGTAGCAGAATATATAAAATAAAACAGACTCTTGCAAGTAAAAACATCTTGCCAACTCCAGATATAAAACGTCTTGTTTTGTATTTGCATAAGCTATATATATAGCTAGTGATGTTGAAAAAGTGCATGTCTTTTTTTTTTGAAGGTTGGTTTTACTTTATACTTTCTGAATTTGTCTCCCTCCAAAAAATGGCAAGTTAAGCAGAGCATTTTGAGCAAATTATAAGCAGACATCCACAGCGTACTATAAGATGCAAATTCACGACTGTTTAAGGAATAATTATACTTGTATCTGTGTTTTTACAATTTTGAGCTATTCTCGGTATACATGCGATAATGCATGTAGCAGCTTTTTTGGCATTCTTTTATTCTATACGAGCATTTTTGTAAAAAGCCGGGAAATTTTTCTTTACTATAACTGAACGAGATTGTTACTCACCCCGTCACAATTGAGCAATAGATAATGGTCATAATCTTTATCTTTGATGAGTGGGGAAGTGTTTGATTCAACTTCTGCGAGCAATTCACAGTTTTCCATTTCTTCACAACTTCGCTGTTTTTTGTAGTTAACGGATCTGCAACCTTTCGTCCCCGCACATTTGAAGGCGCACTCCGCTCCTGACTTTGCGTGAATATTCTCTATATGCCCGTGGTTGAAACGATAACCTTATAGAAAGCGCGAAAACTAGGTAAGGAATAATGTGGAACCAAAACTGTGAAGTACTTAAGCAGAGTTCCACTTATGCCTTAATTACGAATAACCTTTAACTAACTATGATGAAATTTCAAATTAGGCCGCTTTAAAAAAGTCACAAACCTTCCTTTGATCCGTCGAAGCAAAAGTCCAACCCATCTCCAAAATTTTGAACAATCAAAAATATCAACATCAGAAGACTGAATCTCAAACATGCCAAAGATAAACCGACAGCCGGTATCATAAATAAAGGTTTCGAAGCCTTATCACGAATCGCATTTATTCTTCTCCGTTGTAAAAGCGCCATATCATTGTTATATAACTATCCCGTTACATGTTCTCGTCAAGGAACAGCCTGTTTTGAAGTGCTTTTGCCGGATGAACGACGTTTTAATGTTAATGAAAAATTGCAATTGCCACCTGTGCCCTAATTGTCCCGGACGTGTCCATCTCGTGTTTTTTATCACGGTTTATGACGCAGCAAGGGCCTAGAAGTAGCACTTCAGTTCGCTTCCGAACGGAATTTTATGAAAAGCTGAGAACGACAACACAATAATCAGATCGAAAACATCTTAAGAAATGTCTGTGAGACCGAGTTCGACCGAGAATAGACATTGGTCTCACCGCGGTTCGACCTCGGTCTGTCTTTGTTAGGTTATTTCTGGACAAAACTGTACTTTTTACCATGCATTGTTACAGAAGTAGTTCTATATAAACCCCTAGCTGTATTTTGTTGTTAACTATATACAATTTAACTACGAAAACGAATTTAAAGTACTTTATACTACCTGCTAAAGTTTGACAGGTGAAGTTTGACAAGCAAATTTTAATTTCAAACACTGAGTTCAACACAATGTACACAAAAAGTTTAAAATATATATTAATATTTAGGACGGTTTCAGTCGACTATATAAAGTATTTGAAATATACATATTGGAGTTCAACTGCCACCACCATCTTAATGACTTCACTTGGTTGAGTTTGGGCTAACCGTTCCAGTATTTGTGTAATTCACTGGGCAGTCTGGGTGCCCTGGAAAATATTGGTCAAAAATTTTTTCCCAGTAGACAATTTAAGAGAATGAAAATGCAAGGTGTCATATTACAAATCACAACTTTGCGGAACTAGTAAGACTTTAGACGCTTTGTGTCCACTGTTCCCCGGTTTTAAGTATCATCTAAGAAGTGGTTAGAGAAAGAAAATTGTTTATTTAAGAATTGTTAAGAAATGGCGTTAGTATCGATAGCAAATATATTGTCGTAGATGTTGTTAAGGGTATAAGAATAAAATTGACGTGTTTAAACTCTGTTACATGTTTGGCGACGACGCAAATTTCGATTCCGTAGACAGTCAAACATTGATACTCCTTCTTATCATTTAACTCGGTGGCACTCCAGCCTCGTACCCAGGCGCTTTATTGGAAAACATAAAGGCTGCATTCAGCGTAATATAGAGATCTGTGGCTGAGATGTGCGAGCGCGCAGGGGTGCTTGGGGAGGACGCGACAAATGAAGCGCCTGGCAGAATATGCAACAAATATGGCGCCGGCGGACGATTTATTCATATATTTCATAGATGCAAATGAGCAAATTGCCGTACACCCTATCACTGGGCGGTACATTTGGGAAAGTTTTTGTGCAAAAATTATCACTGCGTTGTATTATTCATCATTTTCGAATATTAAGGCGCAAACAGTTATTTACGAGCGCTGAAAGAAGAGTATCTACTCGAATATGCAATGATTTACATCAGATTTAGGTTGCACATTTCTTCCATCTGTTTGACTTCTTTATTAATTTGGTTTTCTTGGGAATCTGTTATTTTAACACCTCCAGAATCACTAAGAATTTTGACTTTGACCTGGTACGTTTTTATCAATGCTGAGTTCAATTTGAATATAAGTTTGTTAAGCTCATTAGCCAGTTCCATCTTCCATGTTTCCATCATCTAATGCAGTAATAGCAGCAGTTGATTCTGTTTATCTAAGCCATTTTCCATTACATTAAGTTCATTCTGCATTACAGAAATATTATCATTCTGCATTACAAAAATATTATGGTTTACTACCATGTGGTTTCATTAACAAATTAGTACAAATTACTGTATTAAATGTTAAGAAAAATTAACTATTGATATGTAGAGAGTAATTCATTAATATTCCTTTATAACACCAACACTCTTTGGTATACTGTACTGTACATGAAATTCAACTGGTGTACCACAAAGCAAACAATAGACTTAATTCATCCCTACAGCAATATACTTATATACATCACACAATGTAGATGAAGGTTGTGTACAGTATTCCAAGAAATTACTATAATACATGTATAAATTATATTGTTCCATAGTCCTATTTACTACATTATACTCTCAAAAGGAGATACATATTTTCACATCCAACAACTATTTTCTTTTTTGGAGAATGTGGGAAAATTTCTTTAATTCCCCGAGTCAAAGTATTCTTTTTATTATCAGAATGCCATGTAAACTCATTAATAATGTCTGTTTTTCATGGACATTGGAGTCTTCACAATAGTCCAACAACCTTTCTAATTCAGAGCATAAATTTGGTGATTTATATCTTCCACTACCTATGAAAAGCACAAATATGTATAATTTATGAATAACAGCCCCAATCTCTGACAATTGAGTCTTGATATATAATATGTACTTATGCTTATTCTTAAATTCACACAAACTCCAAGCATTGGGGTTAAAGCATATTTCCCTGCTGAAATGATTCTTTTCCTTCCTCTTTCTGTGGGGTGCTGGTAACAATCTGACCTGGAGTTTGTTATTGTATATTACTAGCAACAGGCATATAAATTGCAACTTGATAGCATATTTGATATAGAATGAAAATAAAAATGTATTATTGTTTAATTAATATCAATAGAGGAAATATTTAAATCCCAAGGCAACTAAGCACTCACCTCTAACACTCAATTCTTCGATACCAAACGTATACCTTTCCTCCTCCAAGCTTGATGATACTTTGGTAAGGAAATTAAGATGAATTTAAATGGTGTTAAATACTGCGCGACTGTGTTTACGAAACGAGATTTGTCAAAATAGTCGTATTAAAATAAAAAAATCAGTATAAAGCTACCTTCAAATGATAGTTCTTGAAACGATCGTTCCAAATCATCCATAATTTTGATCGCAGGTTCAATTCTTCTTCAAAATATATCTACATATTGTAGTCTTCACGCATTTCTCACTTTTTGCAAAAATGGGAGCCGGAAATCTGCATATTCTGCCAGGCGCTTCGTTCTCCCGTCGCGTCCTCCCCAAGCACCCCTGCGCGCTCGCACATCTCAGCCACAGATCTCTATATTACGCTGAATGCAGCCTTTATGTTTTCCAATAAAGCGCCTGGGTACGAGGCTGGTGGCACTCACACTCTTATTAACGACAAATGCGCAAAGAAAATGTACCATACCCTAACTAACCAGAACTAACCAAAAGATATCAGTGCCACTGATTTAATTCGAAATTTGCGGCGACGTCACTTTTCTCTATAATATATGCTTCGAACAGCACAACCTTAGCACGTAAACTTGTTAATGACGTTTCTGCGCGAATAGTCTAGAAACCTATCCTTTTTAGACAAAACAAGACGCCTGTTCTGGCGTTAACTCCGGCGTGCCGCGCACTCCCCAGTCTTCAATACAAAGCTTCAGAACACAAACAATACAGTTCATATTCATTTAGATGCCTTGCGAACCGAATGTTTTTTGATCGCGACATTCAGAAGCACATCGTACTCTAAAAAGTATAGAAGTTCAGTTGTTTAAAATGTAAATAAAGCGCATGATACGTTCACTCTGTCTTACATGTACACTTTGGAATTCGTGCTTCTATTAAATCTTCAATCCTGTGCAAATTAATTGCGACGTGTCAACGCGCCCCTAAACGACCACATCTTTTAAAACGGCGAAATAGCAGCGACCAGAATTAAAATAGGACCAGAATTTACATGTGTTAAATATATTCTTACCCCAAATAAATCTAAACTTAATCGAACAGCATCAAAGAACCGTTTATTTGTTACTCCTGTAGGAATTGCCGTATCATGCGAGCGAAATCAAATCGCGCATCGGAAAATTAGCCAAAGCAAAGCTGTGCACCACAACTCTTGGAAGATAAGACTGTGACGTAGATAAATACGGTAACATACACATTTTAAATACTAGTATATTTCGCGCCAAAACACTCTTGCAACGACGAAAAATAATAAAAGTAATATACAGGGTGTCCCAAAAAAAACGAAAACTATTGAAATCACTCATTGTTAAAATTTGAATGCCGTGTTCACGAATTTCAGCTCGTGGGGATTTAATGCAACCTATAAAATGCTAAATGCTTTGTGTTGCTAGAGAAAGGGGACATGTCGAAGGTCATGGTCCTTGAGATGCACATTTAAATAATGTTATCCATATTTGTAAATTGTAAATATTGTTAATAAATATCATTTTTGCGAACAAGCAAATTTGACTGCATCATATGCATGCATAAAAATTCTTATGGCAACCCCGATTTATAAACTTGTGGGCCCAACAGAGTGCTTAGGCATTCAAACTCTAACAATTACATTGTTATGGGTGATTTCAATAGTTTTCGTTTTTTTTGGGACACCCTGTATAAAAAAACAAGAACAAAACAAAACTGGGGCGAATTTTCAACTCCGTCGTTGGCGCAGGTGTGACGCGAAATCTCTGACCTGCGAAATCTTTGACTTTTGCGTTTCTGCACATGCGCAATGATATGCATAATTTATTTTTGGACAGTGGACATTGAGCATGTACATACATGTGCACATGTTGACATACCTATGTGGTCATGTGGACAAATATATAAGCTATTTAGGTATAATATCACATATGAAAGTTGCAGTTCACACACGACTCATATTGAATATACAATATACATGTAGGTGGCCAAATATAGACTATAGTCACATTAATTTCAAACATTTATTTGCCAAATATTTCCTAAACCAAAGCTGAAAATTACATTGTCTTACATATTTTTTGAGAACAAAGTAATACTTTATAAATAGAAATACTTTATACCTACTACCTTAGAACATATAACATTTAATATGAAATATAAATGTAATATAAATTATAAAGATCGGCCGAGGTCGGTAATTTCGCGAAGGTCAGAGATTTCGCGTGTACACGCGCGAAATCTCTGACCGGTCACGCGAGGTCAGAGATTTCGCACTGGTCAGAGATTTCGCTTGACACCGGAGTAATAAAGTATAAGGCGATTTACGTTGATAAGTGACAATTAGTGACTGGTTGTGTCATATATATGACTCAGCAGTGCTCTTTCAACGGAGTTTTAAATCTTATACCTTCACAGTCATTTGTCCTTAAGTTTGTTTAGTTCTCACATGAGCTTTTAAGTTCGAATATAAGCGAATTTCTCTGAAAGCCAATTTCATAGGCCCGTTTACACTGAACTCAACTTATCAGAACGGCACGGCATAATTTGTGCCTGTGCCTAGTTTTGTCAATGTACAGGTTACCAATACAAAGACCGAGCACGGATGAATATGGTACGGGTACCCATTTTTACCGGGCCGATAAATTGAGTGTAGTGTAAACGGGGCTATAAGCTTTGAGATTGTAACAATTTGCATATTTATATGTAGAAACTCAGAAATACTGTAAATTCCTGTTGTCTGCTCAAAATGAGTGTATAGTACTCAATTGCTTTACTGTGACATTATTTTTCAATTTCATAATTTCGTTAATATTGTTCTATCATGAAATATAGTCGTATAGACAGTGCAATTGCACTGATGAAGGCCCGGGTTAACGGACCGAAAGCTTTGCAGTATTAAATACTTACGTGGTGTGATCGTGACTAAAACACCACACGAGTAACACGAGTTACATACGAGTACATACGAGTGACATACGAGTACATACGAGTGACATACAAGTACATACGAGTGACATACGAGTACATACGAGTGACAAACGAGTACATACAAGTGACATACGAGCACATACGAGTGACATACGAGCATATACGAATGACATACGAGTCACATACGAGTACATACGTTGGATATACGACCAAAATGAGAATGGCACTTGTTCTTTGGCTATCTTTTAAATGGGGAACGGGGGACCTACAAGTTTAATTACTAATCCATTGTCACCATGCAAACATACAAAAATATCATTATTTAGTATGCCTTTCAAGTGTATCGTTTGTATTTCCGAGGTTAATTTAGTTTTATATACGAACCAAAGAGTCAAAGACCATTTGTATTTTCGCAACAACAACAATGAAAATGTCAAAAAATTTTTAATGTAACAATACTCTAAAACGTAACATACGGAAACACGAACAATGTACCCCTGATCTAGTGGCGTATGAGTTCTAGGAGTGTTTTAGTTTTCTGTAGAATATCCCAATCCATATAATTATAATAAGCTAAATTATGCGAATATTGAAGATATTGCAGCTACATAGCAACCATTCGACAGCATCGAAATTTATCGATATTGTTCAGCCAATTTCCAAATCCACGATAGGGTCCAGTGATGTAATACCCAGGTTGAGAACATTTGACCATCCTTTCTGATCAATTGCAAAAGATGTTCGAACATCTTCTTCATAACATGATCCATACTTGTCAGGATGATTACTAGGTTTACAGCATTTGCCTCCTTCGATGTTATGTAAATTATCGCCCCCCAGTGCGTTCTAATCCGTTTAAAAAGTAACAGTCTTGGCAATTGTTCCAACCGCCGTTCCTATGAGAGTGATGTTGAGATGGTCACGATGATTAAATTAGAAGGCAATGTATAAAATAGGCCTGTTTCTAGCCGCATGATCTGTAATTTTGATGTCCTCTTATCAATCAGAATAAAAAATATTGTTTTCCGCCTGTCGTTGATGTGCTTTGCCTTCTTAATTAGGACGGCCTGGACAATCACGAGCCACACAGTTTAATTCTAGAATCTCAAAGGGTCTTAATTTCGAGCGGAATTATACACACTTCAAAATCAAGCCAGGAACAGTTGATGAAAAAATGAGTCGGACCTCTGTAGCGCAGTGGCTAAAGCATTCCACCGGCATCGCAAAAGCGTAGGTTCGGATTCCTGGCGGAAGACCGATAGTTGACTCATTTTCTATCAACTGTTCCTGGTTTGAATTTGAAGTGTGTATAATTCCACTCGAAAGACCCTTTGAACCCCTAGAATTTATACCTGCGTCTAGTGAAGTGCCAAAAATCATAATCGATTTACCCTCACCTATATATTTTAATTAGCTAATAGCCGCGGCACTTTATATTCAATTTAGCTATATTAAGCTATTGTCAATACAAATTTGTATCTAATAACGTCTACCATATTGACATGTATGTATATGAACAAATTTATACGATTTCTGCGACACTAATATTGAAATGATGTTACAGATGGATCATCCGTCTGGACCCGTCTGAACGAACTTGGACAAGGAAAAGATAATTCGTCTTCTAGTTCGTCTGTGTGTGACCACGGGCAAAAGACGGATCATCCGTTAACATAGTTCGTTCACTTAGACGAATTTGAATGGGTACTGCCATTTTAGTATAAAATACGGGGTAAGGACGAACTACGAAAATTTTCGTAAAAAACGAATTTTGCCATGGAATCGGGCCATTGATTATACTTACTCATTCAAAGAACGGCGCCAATTTGCTTTGTTACACCGACCCTCCTCACTGCTGTACGTCTGAATCGAATTACAACATGTTATTTCTTCAAGTAACCTGATGGGATCCCTAGTCGTACTGTGTAGGGCACCTCTATAGAATCCCGATATGAAAAGATTTTCTTTGCCACAGGTTGACCAACCAGTCTTGTTAAAACTCCCCCGCCAGTTCCCAACTAAAAATGTTGGAGGTGCCTCTACAGAATAGTGTTATCGGGAATTTAATATATTTCATAGGGATGCACGAAGCCTGTAAACTTATGCCGCCAAGAGCCTGAATTGATAAATCTTAAAGCGTCCACGTGTTCAATGCATGATTTTTGATAAAAATTGTGCGTTTAAGCTATCAATGCAACCAAAATGATGTATGTCAGTTTTACGGCCTGTTTAATTTGAACAATTGGCAGATTGAATTACTGTTGATAATGACAATAACGTGAAAGAATCTTGCGGTTAAATTTGGCGATGATTAAACACATTAATCATTAAAATATTTTACACACCAAAAGCTTGAGAAAAAATAGGCACTCAAAGAGTGCATAAGGATTTGCAAAACGCATATTATTGCGAATGGCGATTGCATGAACATAGGCAGC